CAGTGAACCAAAATCCAAAATTTTTTGGATCTAAAGTGGGCCTAAGCTGCTTTATAAACAGACTGATCAGGTACAATGATTTTCCTCTCAAAAAACAGCCGAACAAACCTAGCAGACCCAAAGCCGGGCCCCACTCCTGTCCTGTGCGTACGAACAGACTGACAGACACATGGAACGAGGTGCACGACGCGCAGGTATGGAAAGAGAGAGCAGTGTCTCAGAGGCAGAGCAGAGGCAGCCAGTCCTTGGCGGCTGGCGCACCCTTGCCAAACACAGCATTTCGCGCCTTTGAGACCGAGCTTCAGCTCGGACGGCAAAGGCTTGCGGTGTGCAGCCTGCCGTGGGCAACCCTGGTGCTCACCGGGATTTATTTAAAAAAAATATGTAGCCTCTCTTGTGGAGCCATAAGAGGATTACAACGAATCTGTGCATTTTGTGATCTTAAGAAGGACACGGTCTTCAGATCTAAGTGTAGCTATAGGTTTATTTGTACATGAATGATGTGAGTAGTGTGTATATTGTGTGGACGTGCATGTATACGAACAGATGCTACAGCTGTACCGGAGGAGAGGTAATAAAAAAAAAGCATTTCGCGCCTTTTTTTTACGGCTCCACCCCTCTGCACCTGCATGCAACCACATGCTGCCCCCGGGGGCGGGGCCTCCCAAGTCCCCTGCATACGACGACGCAGCGTGAGGCGCGTCGAAGCAACCGGTTGGTTGTTTGTTCGCTGCGCCTGCGCCTGCGCCCGCGCGCGCAAGGCGCGCGCAAGGCGACGACGGCGGCGGGCGAGACAGCGTGGTACGGCCGCGGTGTGCGGTGTGCCGTGCCGTCCCCTCGTCGCGTAGCCGGCGTGGACGCTTGTGTTGTGTCCCGGCTAGCGCCGCGCGGCCGATCGGGCGAAAGATTCGTCGGCCAGGGGGAGGAGATCGCGATCGGCGCCCTCCGCCGCTGCGCCTGCGCATCGGCGCGTACTACACACCGAGTTGCCCCGGCCGGTTTCACCGTGTGGCGGCAGGTCCGGGGCCCGGGAAGCTGGAAGCAGGCCATGTGCTCACGGGGGCCGCGATCTTGGTCGCATGCCCGGGTGCTCCGGCACGCTGGTGCATGCCATCGCTGCGCGCCCGTGCTCGTGTCTGACGTTGCTGTTCCCGGGTCGTCTACGTGTTCCACAGTACCGCAACGGCGAGTCCATCGGCGGAAGCTTTAGCAATAAATGTGGCGCGTGTGACATGAGGGGATACACGATACAGTTCCCTGCTGCGGCTGCCGATCGGGGTTCTGAGTTCTGACGCTGGCTGCTTCCCGAACATGCCCTGTGCAGTGCACAGTGCTAGCGTAGCGTCTTCGAGGCAGTGTGGATATGAACGTCACGTAGAAATGTCACATCAAATATTTAGTCAGTAATAATAAAATAAATTATAAAAGTTCTAATTAATCCGTCGAGACGAATTTATTAAGCATAACTAATTCATCATTAACGTATGTTACTGTAGCATCACATTATCAAATCATAGACTAATTAGGCTTAAAAAAATCGTCTCGTAAATTAGTCTCAATCTGTGCATTTAGTTTTATAATTAATATATATTTAATACTTCGTACATGTGTATAAATATTCGATGGGATAGGGACGAAAGTTTAGGAGGAAAACTAGAATATTTATTTGGGCAACGAAATTCATACTAGAACATTTACCATTTGCAAACAAGAAAACTATTACATGTGGCGTACGTATTGCACTAGCTAAAAAGTTGCGGATTGCCCCCCTTTTTATACATAGAATGCGACGTTTTATCCACACAAATATGGCTGCAAAAGGCGACACCACAGGAACGGATCAGTGGATCAGACCAACACCATGACCTGCAAAGCCGATGGATCACGCCATCATTGCGATTTAGTAGAGTATCAAGATTCTTGGGGATGTCAAAACCACACGAAATAATTGGACCAGCCGGAAATGCAGGACAGAAAGAAAACGGGTCCGGTCATCCATCAACCACTAAATAGTCTTTGCCGTCATCGCAAGGCCTAGCTTTCGTCGCGGCTTCATCATGCAGTACGACGAGCAGGCACAGTATGGCGCACCTGCATCGTTCCATGCACTGCCAGGCTTTCGGCCTTGGTCCCCGTCGGCCATAACCCGCTCTACCAAAGGCAGTAGGCAGTTGTTGACTGTTTGCGCAAGGCAGCAGCCTGTTGGCTCGTTGGGTTCGGTCAGGGTTTATCAATTAACTAATAGTGTTTTTTTCTCATGATAAACTAGCATCGATCAGATTTATCAGCTTAGAAACTAATCAACGAACAGACCAAAAGTATGCTTGGTGCCTGCTTGTTGCTTGGTACAGCCAGCAAGCAAGCACCAAATCCAGCTTAAATCAGGAACAGAGTTTCTCCTGGACCGTGTGCCACCAGAATTCCAGAGAGGACGGCAGATCGGCAACGCCAGCAGTGTCATCTTCCAGGAAGGCACCATGTGGTACTAGCAACCTGTAGATGTGTAGGAACTAGGAAATACAGGCCGGATGGCTGTTGAAGGTGGCAACGGAAGTATTGTAGCTTGTGTGACCACCCACCAATGCCTGGCGATGAACAGGCAATGGGCACCAAGAGCCTCTTCAAGGCTCTGTTTTTTTTTTGGTATCGCCGTACGTTTATCTGAATTCTCTCGCTACTTCCTCCGACAATCTTTAATACTAGTAGCTTTTTGGAGAAGGCATGTTCATCAAGTACTAAGGCCCCGTTTACATGTTCCCAAAATCGAAAAAATTTTGCACAGTATCCGTCACATCGAATCTTACGACACATGTATGGAGTACTAAATGTAGACGAAAAAAAAACTAATTACACAGTTGGCCGAGAAATCGTGAGACGAATCTTTTAAGCCTAAATAGTCCATAATTAGACAATTTTTGCCAAATACAAACGAAAATGCTACAGTAGCTAAAAGTCAAAAAATTTCGGAACTAAACACGCCCTAATGATAAAACTCCCTGACACTTTGTTTGTACCATTCTTCGGTCAATGCAATGAGTTTTCATGTGAGATCACATTTGTTGTATTTGCTTGAGTGATAAGTCATCGCTGAAAGTACCGTTGACTGATTTGTTATGAGAGAAAAATACTGTTTGTTGATTGAAAAAAGTACGACTCATAAGCCAAACGAACAGGACGATTAACCGCCGATCCCCTGGATCAACATCATGCTGGTACGGACACACATGTTAGCCAACGTTCCGATGCGGCTTTGAATTCCCTATTATCAATCTCTCATTTCCACTAGACAATGCAATTTATAAAAGCCATATACCACTCCCTTTGTTATTATTTGCTAATACACTAGTTAGCGAATTTTTCATCAGTCATCACGGAAAAAGCTAAACAACCAGCTAAGACAAGATATCAGTATATAACTACTACTACTAGTTGGCTCGCATGCCAAATGACGAATCCTCGGACAAGGGATTAGAAATACGCCGGGCTCGATCCGTCTCTCCCTATCTGCCCTCCATTTGTGTGGCTCAACCAACAATAATCACACGAGCCGAAAGCCGGAAGGCGAGGGCCCTAGACAAGACTAGTTTATGGGGCGAAAGATGGGGATGGGAGCAGGAAGCGCACGGTTGGAAAATTCCGCGGTGCCGAGCGTTCCTACTTCCCGGCGGCAACTGTGAATGCTAAAAAAAACAAAAACAAAGCTACTTACAGCACCGGCGTTCTGCCTCGCGCACCTGCACACACCGAGTCACCGACACCTCCCGGGTCCCGGCTCTCTCCCACACCACACACACCAAGCACAAAACCACTCCTGCTCGCCTCCCGAAACACACGCAAACGCAAAGGTTTCGAGCGTCGAGACAGCAAGAACGACGTTCTGTAGACTGTAGTACCGCTTCCACACCGTTCGTTCTTCGGAACCTTGCGGCCCCGTTGCGTCATCTGCACGCTGAATCGCGGTTAACGATGATCGGGGTTGCTTAGCTCAGTTTAGCTCCTCTTTTCAGGGCGGTAGAAAGTACTCCCTTCCGTCGACAAAAAATGCAATTCTCGTTTCACCAAGTCAATCAGATTAAACTTTGACTAAAATTATATAAAAAATACTAACATTACTGATGCAAAATTAGTATCATTAGATTAATCATAAAATATATTTTCATAAAAAAAATATTTGAATACATAAATTTTAATATTATTTACTGTAAACTTAGTCAAACTTGAGCTTCTTTGATTAGCACGGATCCTGTAATTTTATTATTTTCTGGACTGAGTATTATATAAGGTACGAGGGTACCATGCTAGTTTAACTACACGCTGGTGTCTCCTTCTCCATGCCGCCATTTGTTTCACAATGGTGGTTAAGGGCAACTGAATGCGGAGCGAGCGAGCGAGAGCTAGTGGACGAGACAGCTAGGGGCACTAAAACAAGTCACAGCTCACCAGATAGGTCCGAAACAGACCGTCCAGGTCCAGGACAGAAACACCACCAGTTGGTCCACCACCACCAATGGGCAAAGTAATTAGAGGCGCTTTTCGCTAATGGGGCTTTCTCCAAATGAAATATCTAGCACACTAGATTACTGGCTACTAATGGGGCTTTTGGGAATGGAGAGAAAGTTAGGAGAATACGGTGATGATGTTAACGTCTCTCATCATGAACAAGAACTAGTATACGAGTGACCAACACCGAGCCAGCATTGCAACAACACATTCAATTCCCATGCATGATTCGACGGCAGATATATATCACGGAAATGTAGAGGGGAGTCGTTAGCAGTTAAGCACGCATAGTATTAGAACTACCAGCAACTTACACTTCGCTACACAAAAGCAAAAAACAGAAAACTGTTGACAGTAATAGCACCAGGAAGGCACAAAACCTAACGACCACTAGTAGATTTTACTTCATCGTCCTCGCTTGAGAGTTGAGACACTGATATCAGATCAGGCGCAGCACCACATTATCCTGAAGCGAACTAGGTAGGATCAGGATCAGACGATCAGTACCTGACCGGCATGCCAAGTCGATCCAATCTGCCAGAGCCCGGATACGCCTTGTTGGTGAACTTGGCGTGCAGTGAGGCCGCCGACCTCTGCGCCGCCGACGCCGCCCCGGCCGTCGGCGCGCACGGCCCCATCCCGAAGGCGTGCGCCGACGCCTTGCGGAGGGAGCTGGACTTCTCGTACTGCGGCCTCTGCTTAGGCGCGCTCTGGGAACGCGCCTTGGCGCGGAACGACTCGGTGTTCGCCATGTAGTTGGGGTAGTCGGAGTAGCCACCGAAGAGGCTGCGCGAGCACTCGCTCTTGGTCGGTGTGAACGGGCCTCTCCTCGAGCTCCCGGGCCGCGACGTCGCCGAGAAGAACTGAGGGCTGTCGCAGAGCTCGGCGATGTCCACGGGCATGCGCAGCGGGCTCAGGGCCTCGCCCATGCCGACCGACGACGGGCTCGGCACCGACTGCTGCGCGGTCGTGGAGTCCTTGGACGGGGACTCCGGCATGGTCGCGTAGCTCCGGCTGTTCTGGTCAGAGGTCATCGTCGAGCACGGCGACTGGTGATGATGGTTGCCGCCGCCGCCGCGCCTCTTGGAAGCATACCGCCCTGGCTTGCCGTTGTCCACTTCGAGGATCTTGGCGTTCTTCTCGTCGTCCATGTACCTCTCCTCCACCCAGCGGTCCAGCCAGTTCCTCCCGCAAGATTCCGACCTCTCCCTGCCCAGCCTGTCGCCGCCCGGTGTCTTCGAAGCGTTTGCCTGCACAGATCACCTCACCATCGTCACTGCCATCACAATGCACAAAGAAACCTGAAAGCTGAGGAAAGACACTCACCTTCAGAGAGCCGGAACGGCCGTGCCTGGGCGCACCCGCCTGATCGTACTTCTCCGGCGTTGGTGGATCCTGCCGTGTACATATCCATCCAAGAACCATAAGAACACACGCACCTGGCAAGTTACTACGACCAAAAGCGAAATATCCTCACTTACCGGATGAGCCGCGACATGCTGCGAGCGAATTGCGCGACAAGCGCGAGCGCGCGCCTGGACGCGAGCGAGCGCGTGCATGCATCGCAGCGTCTCCGCCGCCTGCCGCCGCACAATGTTGCCCCGGACCAGCGCCTGCAGCTTCACCAGCCCCCGCAACGCCTTCAGCGCTCGCCTCGCCTGCGCACGGAACCACAAGCAGAAGCAGAGAGGGTTAATCAGCAATGGTCCCAATCCCATACTCCCATAGTCATGGGCATCCACAGTGCAAAGCTGGGGGTTGGCATCTCGCAACTTGGCATACCAACCACCACCGCCATTACTACGGCTACGGCGGTAACCCGCTTCCAATAACAGTAACGCAGTAACTAGGCGCAAAACGGCAATAAGAGAGGCCTTCCGATTTCCTGCGAAGGAAACGGAGTTGCGGCCATAGCCATGCCTTGCTTCCTGAAACGAAGCCTAGAAGGTGCAGGCATTAAAGACGACGGCAGACCTGACGCCCACCGTGGCTTCTCCTTGCTGGAGGGGAAGGGGTTTACCAGAGCGACTTGTACGGTACACATGAACGCAGAAATTTCTATCTACCATGCAAAAGAGGGAGATTTTTTTGGAAGCACAAAAGGTTCCTTCTTCCGTTTTAAAGTTAGCTTTTCGTGACAAGCTGTAACTTAAAAAGATTTGTTTATTCATTGGAAATTTCATTAAAAAAGATTTAGTAACTGAAGAGCGAGGAGTCTGTGAGAAGCTTACCAGGTAGCCACGGAAAGCGGCCTGGATCCGAACAGCCGCCCACTCCTCCCGCTTCGTGGCGGCGGCCGGCGCGCACCGCCCGCTGCTCGTCAACCGCACCACGGCGGCGGCCGCCTGGGCGGCAGCGACGGCGGCCTCTGCCACGGCCGCCGTCGCCGCGGCCACCGCGATAGCACGCTTGCTCTGCTCGTCGTCCGCCTCATCCGGCGCCGCCACATACCCCCGGCGAGGCGTCGCCGTGGGCTGCACCGGAGGCGTCGGAGGCCGCGCCGGCGCTGGAGCGGGGGGCTTTTCCCGGAAGGACTTTCCGAATCCCCAACGCTTCTTCTCCTTCACCGGCTTTGTCTCGGCGCCCTTCCTGCCGCCGCCGAGCAGCCCGCGCAGCCACCTGGGCGCCCAGCCCATCTCCGCCGCTCTACCGCCCGTCGGCCGGCCGCCGCATGAGGTTTTCTTGGTTCCACTACTTGGCCGGAGCAGGGGGTAAAGAAAGAGCGGGAGATGAAACCAAAACAGTGAAATGCGCCACACGCTTACACCGAGAAGAGAGAAAGGCAGCAGGAGAGAACGGGGCGTGGAGAGTCTAGTGGAAGATTGGAGGGACTAGTCTTATAGAGGAAGGGGCTCTTTTATGCGAATAGTTTATCCTATTCCGGGGCTATAGTGCTAAACTGCTGCATCATTTTTAACCCAGGACGGTATAAAATTGTGAAATAGGACTAGTTTGAGGGTGGTATGTGACAAGTTGAGTTATGTTTTTTTTTTCTCACTCCCGTGGCAGGTGTTGATCCTCTGCTCCGCCGGTCGCATAGCCGGCAGTGTTTGACCGTTTCTTCGATGGTCAAAGTTTGCTATAAATCGTGGCCCTCCCATACATGGACTGTAAATTAACTACTAAAAGCAGCTCTAAGAAACTATGTAAAAATTGGATCCAAAATATATTCAGTAATTTTTAAAATTAAAGCATCCACTAAAAATTAGCTTAATGCAACAGCCTTTCTAAAATATGCCATTGTATATTTTTGAAGCTGCTACATCACTCAAATCGATCTCGTACCCATCCTTCCACTGTCACGAGGAGCCCGTTGCACGCAAGGGGTTCGCCAGGGCAACTGAGCCATCGCTTCCAGCGGTTCACCTGGCGAACAACATCTGGCCGCTAGTAACACTATGCGTTTCAAGGACGACGAGATTAACAAATGAGCGGAGCCAATTAACAAACGAATGGGTATTACACCTGAATCCTTCGAGCCGAGTAACAACCAGATCGTGCCAAGCATGAACAATAACGCCATTGTTGTGCTTGTGCAATGCTAGAGCGTGCGTGGGAAGGGATGCAGACTTTGCAGCTGCAGAGGCAGCGTGATTACAGGCGGAAGGGTTGCATTCTATTTGATTGTTTCTCTTAAGCTGACATCTATGGCTCCTGCCATCCAGGTGGGTGATTGCACGGGAGGATTGAGCGAAAAACTTGCTCAAAAGAAAAAGCTAGGTGAGCTGGAGTGTACGAGTGGTGGTACCAATGGTTAGGCTAGGCCCTTCTTGTAATGTCAGAGGAGTCAGGACGCAGTCCACATTCGGTTCCTGTCTGTGCGGGACGACTACAATTGAGTCGACCGAATTTTTCGCGTGTTCGAGACGAGCAATGTCTCAGGCCATTAATGTCTAGTACGGCTGCAGGGCAAAGGTCCTGCAATAGCGCAGAAAGGAGTACGGAGAGACGTGGGTCACGGCAGCCGTGAACCATAGGCGAACGCGAAGCACGAAGCCACAGTTCAGCTGCAATTCCTGAACAAGGGTTGGTCAATCGTGCACAATACGTCTCGCGTGACATCTATGAAGGGCGCATCTACCAGCAATACGGTTACGACGACTAAAGCAGTACCAGCACGACTGACTTAAAGATCGTATACTAGCGAGAGTTAGTCCACCGGAGAAAACATAGTTAAACCTATTCCGGATGCTTAACTATAGCAATAGGGCTACTTATATACTTCGTAGGTAAACGCCCTAACTTTTTGTAAAAATAGGTTGTCAAATTTTAGTTTAGAAAAGGATTTTGAAGCTTTATTTTTCATTTATGCTTTGATACCACCTATGGCAGAACCGCCTAATCTAATGCCTCTCAGGAGTACTTATTTTTCATTAGACACTAAGTACTCAAGAGATAACACTAAACTACGCAGTTCCATCGAGCACACCCCAAGGGAGAACTCGAAAATCCACATTTTTTCATCAGGATCATAAATGAGATAATAAAGCTTACAACATTCTTAAATCATTTCTTACATCACTTTATTGCAGTAGTAGAATATTATCTCAATTAATTATAACAGCGGAATATAATAATATTATCAGAGTTACAGAGGAAACAAAGATTAATTTAATAACATAGTGGAGCATTAACATATTGGACATATATATACAAGGGATGCTAGCAGATTTTATATCTTGTCTTATAAAAACCTTTAGGGAGGGTTATAAATAAACACTACGGTCGTAGCGTGAAAGAAATCCTCTCTGAGCCTATTAGGAGGTTTTCACACACAAGAGTCAGTTCTAAGTATCCTCCGATCACCTGCAACAGGAGGAATAAAAACCTGAGTACTCAATTATACTCAGCAAGACTTACCCGACAGGAGAAAAATAAAAGACTCCAAGGATATCCAAGACATATTTAGCTTGTGGGTTATTGCATCTGCGGAAGTATTACTAAACGTGCGTCCTTATATTCAATTTTATTAGGAGTCATTATTAATTCATTAACTAACCATTCTATGTAAGCACCTATGCTACCTTCAAGCAGGTAGTAAGCAATCAGAACCATTTTATCACCTTTCAAGTTCTAGTTTTTACTACGGTGCTAGACCATAGCCAAGTCGGTACCGTTTGACAAAAACGGCGATTCGCGAATCAATCTATCCCAGATGGGTACCCAGAAACACACGCCTCGTTTATACCCCAGGAAACAAACAAGACCAACTAAGATGCTAAGTTACTTATTATTCCACTAATAGGTATGAAACATTTCATGTATTAACTTAGCAACTAAAGGCATTCTTACTCTTAATATCGATTTACTCTATACATGATAAAACAAGGAGTACTAGCTACCCTATTTTTGGACACCTACAGAATTTACTATAATTTTCCAAAGATCGGCTCAAAACTAATTTGAATAAACCTTTACTAATTTCATGGAAAAAGGAAAACCCAAAATCCACCCGTGCGGCCCATCGTGGCTCGGCCCACCCCCGTGCAGCGCGCGCACGCGCGATCCACCGACGCTGCCCACCCAGGTGTGGCCCAACCACGCGACAACGGCCTACGACGGGGAGGTCTGCGCGCGCCGACACAATTGCGAAAACGCCCTCGCGCAAATACCAAATCAGTATGTAGTCCACAGCACTATTCCTACAGTCTGGACTTAAGCAGTCTAACCCTCGGAACATTCTATCTTCACCACGGCCAAACCCTCGGGCACCCACGCGCACACCGACGCGACGACGCTAGCACAGGGCGGTCACGTCGCCCACCCTAGACCCGCTCCGACCAAGCTAGCGATCCGAACAGCACCTACGACCCTAGAGCCTACCCTAGACGAAGTTGCAGGGTAGCGGAGCTCGTGGCAACGGTGGCCACGCCGCGCGGCCACCCGTGACGGCGGCACGACCACGTCGGCCAACCTAAGCCATCGCAGTGAGAGATAGCTAACCCTAAAGCACCACTACCGTACCCTGGTGGCTGCTGTGGTGAAGGTTTGGCCGGGGATTCCCTGAACCGAGCTGGCCACGTGCGACGGTGGGATGCGGCGGCGTACTGTGGCGACACCATCGCGTCAGTGACCAAGGCAGACCGGTAGCGGCAAGGCTAAGGTGCACGGGGTGGATGAAGGACCTAAGCGAAGGTAATGGTGCAGCTAATTGGCAGCAAGCGACGGGTGAGCGAGCTGTCCGCGCCCATGGCCAAGGGCGGCCTTAACGGCTCACCGGGGCAGAAACGCCAAATTGGCGCCCGACTGGCCATCATCAAGGCTGCGGGTGGCACAGGCGGTGAGAGGACAAGAGAGCGTAGGTGCAGATGAGGCGAATTGAAGAGAGGTGACTTCTTTCTAGCACGCTCGTAGGCCCAAGGCGACGGTGGTGGTACAGAGAGAAGCAGGGGCACGCGGGTGAATGGGACGGCTTCGGGACTCGTCAGACTTCAACTAGGGTGTGTCTTGGCGGGGTGCGGGTGCCATGGCCGAGGGATCCTCGCCCCAAATGCATTGGACGAGCGAGTGGATCGGCGATAGGATATGGCCCGCGCCCTGCGGCGCCATTAATGGCGTCGTGACGGCGTGCAAGGCCACATGGACGGCACCCACACAGTCGAGAGAGAACAGCGGTAGTAGCCGCGCAGACACCGACCACGGCATAGCACGTCGGCCCAGCCAAATGACACGGCGCGAGTGGCTAGGTGGCGTGGACCGCCAGGCGTCGGGCCCATGATTTCGGCGCAACGGCGCGGGCGCGGCGGGGCAGAGCGGCCAAGCCAAACGGACCCCAGCGTCCCGCCGAGCGCGGCGGTGCGCATGCGGGCGCACGTGCGCACGCGCGTGCGTTAGGTGGCTGACACTGCGGCGCCGAGTGCCGAGGCACGGTGACCGCGCCCGGACGCTAAAATCGGTCGGGAACGTGCCATACACGATTTTAAAGCGTTCGAATAAGCCTAAAACATTGATCTAATCGACAAACCACTTATGCCATTCATAAGAGGGCATATTAAGCTATTAAAACCAGCCATGAAACCACACCACTCCTTAACCCGATTCTTCTACAAAAATCACCAAACCTAGCTTTGTCAAACCACTTTTTAGACTTACGAAATTGGCTAAGTCTTGATCGGATTCACGTCAAATTCGATTTCCAAGCTATTCGGTATGCTAGCTAGTGAATTCCTTTCTCGACCACAGGTATTTCATCGTCACCTACACGGTTTGTACTTCTAACTTTATTAAAGTTCCGTATATACGTTCTATAGTGTTTTCGCTTAATAAAAATTGGTTTAAAACCCTAAATGATATAACGTGACATTGAAATGTAACTTTCTTTTCATGTTTCCGATGATCGTTTCGAATTACGGAAATTGATCTACCCCCTATATTACATGCATTAACACATAACCATGATGCTCATGACATGTTAAAGCAAAAGATTTACAGTGTAACACCGACGATGTTACAAATCTACCCTCCTAAAACAAAATCTTGTCCCGAGATTTCATGTGCCTAGTGTGGGAAAAAGATAAGAAATACATTTCGAAATAAATAACTACCTTAATGAACCAGAAAGAAGATGGGAATAATGCTCCAGGATGTAACTTACTTGCTCCCACGTTGCTTCATCTTCCGAGTGGTTTTGCCACTG